TTTAAATTGTTGTTTTTTATTTTATTTTTTGTATCCCCTCCCTTTTTATTGTTAGCTGCCCTGAGTCTCTTGAGAATAGGGAGGCATACAAACTTAATAAAATGAAATGAAATGAATGAAATGAGAAATATGTAAATTATTTCAATGACATTACAGTGATAAAAACAATAGAATTATTAATTAGATTTCTATTTACTTGTGGATATTAAATAAGCATTGTGTTATTCTGTGCATTTAGAAAAACTGGTTAATAATTTTACCTTCATCACTCCGAGGTTGCTGAGGAAACATGTAGTTAGTTAACACTCTTTGCTTTGTTTCTGGATGTGCCTCAGTTTGAAGAGGAATCAGAGCCTTAGACTGTAAATTAAAGAAAAATGCACACACACAATATATAATATTCTATGTCATGGGGGGAAAAAGTAACAATGAAGCAAATTAAATTATGGTATTAAAAATATTATGAATGTTAACAAGTAGTGTTTCATTACAAAGGGTACTGGTAATAACCTTTGTTTAAAAGTAAAACATGCTAAATAATATTCAGGTACAAAATTGTATTGCATTATGACCCCTGTAACATCTACAAACTACAGGTGATGATGCACTATTGTGATTTATGTACTGTTAGTTATGTTGCCGTACTGTTTTGATACCTGGTGATTTTATGAAAGGCAACCCTCCATCAGAAGATTTATCTGAACGGGAAAAGACACCATGAAAAAAACTTGTCTCATTTTGTCTGACATTTTAGGGGAAAAGACACCTGAGCGCAATTATTTGGGGCTTAGAATTTAAGAAACTCTTTCTATTTGCATGTAAAAGGCAACTTTTTTACATGCTTACTCAAAAAAAAAAGTTTTACAGTGAGACAACTTGTATATAAGTGAATGATTTATATAAATAAATAGAAGAGATTTTTTTTTTGTTCTGCAGGGTGAGTTAAATAGTTTTATTCATGTTGGGTAGATGTTTGTGTCCTATCTATGAAATAAAAACATTCTCCAATCTCCTTGCCATGTTTCATTCTCCCCCCTCTCCATTTCCTGTTTGGATTTCTCTCAACAAGAAGGAAAAGACATGGGATACTTCTGCAGAGGAGAAATCTGAGTGATCCTATACTTTGTGAGATGCTTTTCCCGGACAACAGAGTTGCTCTGCAAGAATAATGCACATTAGAATATAGTTCAATTAAATATGCCTTTTTGAAAAGTATAAATTACTAAGATAAATGATATATTAAGATAAACTCTGAACTGAACACTTCAGTCAGTTCAAAACAAAGTTATTTATTAATTATATTTTCTAAAACAAAATCTGGAAATACTATTTGTAAAAAAAGAAACAAAAAGTCTAGCTATTGCAGACAGTTTCCTAATACTCAGTTCTTTTATCAAAAATTCAAGTGCTTTGCCATCAGCAGATTCACTAAAAAATCTGATGATAGGTAAAAATTTGGGGAAACATACAGTTTAAACTTCTGTATCCAAAATGCATAATCTGAAATTATGACTTAATGATGTCATGACAATGAATTTTATAAATATACCAGTTCTTTTGCTTAGTTGCTATGTACAAATGGATATTAAATACATACCTGGTTGTCTGAAAGCCACAATGCTGCAAGTTCTTTAAGCTTTGTAAAAGTGATGGGTAAATTTTTTAACCTGTTTTTTTTAACAAAAACACACAAATATTTAGACAAAATGAATCCTTCCTGAATACAACATTATTTAGGTTTTTGACAACTATTTAAACACTTCACAGGGATTCCACAATAAATATTTAATACTTTTTAATATATCTTTTAATTGCTTTAAAAAATCTTTAAACAAAAAACATTCATTTACGGGTAACTTTTTCATTTAAAATGAAAAATGTTTCCTAAATCTTTAGATGGTGAAAATAATTAATGAAACTACTGACAATTTTAGCTATGATTTGCTCATCTATATGCAACAACTGTCAAGCACTTTTGAAACTTCACTTTTATTAAAAAGAACAGAGTTTTTAATATTTTTAATAGGAATATATTTTATTGTTTTAAAAATATTTTTGGCTGTATAGATTCCAGCTAGTCCTAGCGGGGATTTCTGTTTTGTGATGTTGCTTGGTTCCCCCGCCCCTTATTTAGAATTTGAAGACATTTATTCAAATTAGTTGTCAAATAATTTTCTCCATAATAACGTATAACAGTAAAAATGAAAGAGAGGCTGATTGAAATTCTGATTTATTAGATTTATTAAACTATAATTTTGGAACTGGAGCTAAAACAGGTAATCCTCAGTTTATATCCACAATTGAGTGGACCTTTCTTGCTATAGTTGTTAAGTGAATCACTGCAGTTATTAAGTTAGTTAGATGGTTGTTAAGTGAATCTGGATTCCCCATTACCTTTGCTTCTCAGAAGGTCATAAAAAGTGATCACATGACTCCATGACATTGCAACTGTCATTAAGTATGAGACAGTTGCCAAATATCTGAAGTTGGAATGTTTGTGTGAAAAGTCGTCATAAGTTGCTTTTTAGTACAATTATCATTAAACAAACTGTTGTAAGTCGAGAACTACATGTATAAAAGCAATAATGACCTATTTCAAAAAATATTTTAGCTATTCCATTTATGTAAGAAATCTCTTGCTTTTGCAGAAATCTCATTGTTACACACTTCACTATGTCTCATTAGCTATCAGTTTTGTATAAAATGTGATGTGACACTCTTTTCATGCTTCTGTCACAAAAAGTGAAAACAATTTGGTGCATATATAAACCAGCTCATGCCACTGAAGTTGCTCATGAAAATGCTGGTGTCATTCTCATTCTCTCTATTATATAGCATGCCCAGAACTTATCAAATAGAAAGAAATTCTTAGAAATATAATAAGGTTATAAACTACATTCCATTGTTGAAATCAAAAGAAGCTTTTATGTTGAATTCCAAATTATTTTGTATTAAATAAAAGAATAACCATTCTAGATCTGAATAAAAGAATTATCTATCCAAAATTCTATATTCATTGAAGATAATCAGATGTCAACAGGAAGCCTACAAGTAGCAATATTATTTTCACATTCATTTCTTTAACAGTTGATATCAAGAGGTTCCCCTCGCACATATCTGCTAGTCGATCCTGACTCTAGAATGTGGTGCTCATCTCCATTTCAAAGCCAAAGAGCCAGCACTGTCCGAAGATTTATCCATGGTCATGTGGCTGGCATGACTAAACAATGAAGGTGCATGGAATGCTGTTCCCTTCCACCAAAGGTGGTTCCTATTTTTTCTACTTGCATTTTTACATGCTTTTGAACTGCTAGGTTGGCAGAAGCTAGGGCAAGTAACGGGAGCTCACTCCGTTACACGGCACTAGGGATTCGAACCGCTGAACTGCCGACCTTTCTGATCCACAAGATCAACGTCTTAGCCACCAACCCACCGCATCCCTATCAAGAGGTCTATAGTGCTGCAAAATGTTTAGGAGCGCATTTAGTTAAATTCCTCAATTAAAAGCCAGAAGAAGGAAAGATATTTTTATATTAGCTCAAGCTGCCTTTTAGTACTTGTTTCACCTAAACAAGTACTAAATATGCACCTAAATAAGCACAATCATTTGCATTTAGTATACATTAGTCAAAATGAAAAGTGACATAGTTTCTTTTCAAAATTACATTTGAAGGAATCCCCTATGATTTCTTTTCTTCCTTTGCCTATGGGGAAAAAGATTTGTTGTTTTCTAAGCAATACATATTTTAGGTGCTCTTTGGGATAGAAGGATACATTCATTTCATTTTTTTTTAGTCAGACTGCCAAGAGAAATGTCAGCTAGACTCAAGGATTTGTACTGGCATAGACAATTGAAGAGGGGTCCAATGAGAATTAAAGAAGAGCACAATGTGTATCTAAGTGAATGATCACTTCAGAAATCAACTTTTTTGGATAAGCATTCAATACTGATTAGTTTCCCTGCTGCCAGTTTCTTTGTATGTGCATTCAACTCCATTAAGCAATTGGTAGTCAGAAATAGTTTCTGAATTACTGCACCCAATTAGATGACCATGTAGGAGCAGATACTATGTGCTACTTCAAACCTAACCTGACTTTTTTTTTCTTTTTCCTACTCCTTCTTGTTTCCTTCAATTCTAATTATATGTATTAGATTATCATTGATCAATTCCTTAAAAAAGCTCAGCTGCTTTATGGTAAGAATGAAATAACTAGAGCAGGAAAATATAACAGTTCCAAAACAGAAGTTCTTCCTGAGGGCAAAATATCTAGAAGCAAAAAGTATAAATTTATATTTGTTATTCTGTCAACTAATAATTTGGTAACATTTTAAAAGAAGAATATTTTAGTAATTTACGCAGCAGATGGTTCTATATCCTTGTGATGCTCATAAAACAAGTAAATTTATACAATAAAAGTATTACCTGTTGTCACTCAAATTTAAGACACGGAGTTTCTGCATTTGACCAATTTCATCGGGAAGAAATTCCAGTTTGTTTGAACGGAGGGACATGACGGTTACATTTTTGCAGCTGCCAATCTATAGACAAGAAAGACAGTTGTTAGACATGTTCAATGAGATTACAACAGTTTAGGATTCATGAATTGTAATGCCTTAACATTAATTAAATTTCATTATTTTTCACAAATGAAGGCAAATATATGTGCCCCAGGATATTGTTGCAGGATCCAATCTGGATTGCTCATGGGGACAAGAGATTTTGTCTTCCAAGCTTTCAGATTTATGCTGAAGCCCATCATGTTAAGAAATTTACCAGCTTAAAGTCCTTATGTTCTCCGAATGATATGCCTAATATGCTTATTTCCCATAATTTCTCTAACAAAGTGCCTATTATTCTATTACTGGAGCATGTTTTAACAGCATTCTTGCTTTGCATGCCTAGGTCTAATTAGTTTATTAAAAAGCAAACTTTCTCTAAGTTGCTTGCAATCCTTCAAAGGAGTTGTGACCTAGTTCTTTTCTCACACCAATGGGGAAAATATATATATGCATTCAGGTTAGCAATGAAAAATGTATCACTACTCTGGCAATTGTTTATTTTAATGTATATGCCATTGCTACATAGACAGCTCACAATAAAATATATTGCAGGGTCCAATCTGGTCAGGGTCCCAATTTGGAGCTTGCAACATTATCCTGAGACATGTATATTCACCTTCATTCATAATAAAATATATCTATGAAGCAGATATTTTGAGTTACGTTAAAAGTCCCTAACTGATATTTAATTAATGTGTGATAACACTGTACGTATCTTGTATGGATAATAAAATGATCCAATATCTATACTGATAGATAGGATGAAGAGGATGGAACATGGTCACCTATGTTTTTGAGGATTACATACACATAGAAGCTCCGTATGTTGCTTTTATTTCTTTCCTCTGTCTATATAGCCACCATGCATAATCTGTAGAGCCATGAGGCAAAAGTGGGTGGGTATTAATGGAAAGTGAATCACACAAGAAAAAAAAGTGTTTTTTTAAAATAATAAAATAACAAAAGACACCTTGCAACATTATTAATAAAAATGGAAGAAGGGCATGATGATATGCAATGCAAATGCAGAACAAGAGCCCTGTTGTCAATTCTCAGATTATGCCACCAAAGGAAATCAACATTGAAAACTAGTACACGTTAGAAGTAAAAAGCTTCACTTGTTTCATCTTGCTAAGCTTTTGCAGTTTTTCCATTCTGCTATACTTCAGATCTATTAGCTAGCACCGTTGACCATATAATCACCCTGATTCTCGACATGAATCAGTTTCTAACTCTCAGAATAAACATTATTTTAATTAGCTTTTCCTAATCTGGATAGAGTTAATAGAAGCTGTGGTACAACACATATGGAAGGCATCAATTTCTGAAAGGCTGTTCTAAAGTAATACGCATATATGGGGTTAATATCATTGCCACTTTGAAAGCATCCTCTGAAAGAATAGAAAAGGACAAAAACATATTTGAGAAGCCCCATGTTTTCAGAAGCCAATGGATTAATTTCTGCTTGGAATTTGTTGAATAATTTTGTTCATATCTGATGTTTTTTCAAGAAATTAACACTTTATCTAAACTATTAAAAAACTAAGTATAAGATTCAGGTTTTGAATGTAGAATCCATTGACTATATCAATATTCCCTTGGACTCCCTTAGAAATATTTTTAAAGAAATTGAACTGGTTATTGATTAATATTTTCCCCTTTGTACATCTCACTTATAAAAAGATAAAATTATAATATATGAAAACTAAAACATGAGACTTTACTTAAAAAAAATCAGCATTAAAGAAATGGCCCAATATTTTAACAAAGCTTAAAAGTATTATACTTTTAAGGACTAAATGCTCTGTAGCCTCAGGATATGATTTGCCAAATACCACAAGCATTATAAAAAAGTATTAGAAGACTGATTAATTTCTCCAAAGAATTACTAAAAACTGGACATGATGAAAGATGAGGCGAGAGTCTTTTAGAACAAACTAAAAAGAAGAAAACCATAATAGTTATTAAGAGTTATGCTGAAGGGAAATCTATACAATGATAGTTGGTGGAATAATAAACTGGAAGAGTCTGCAGGTAACATAATGTATGATTTGCTGTAAAAATGTGAATGGCATATATTGTGTAGAATGAAAATCAAGAAACAGTGTTGGTAAGAAAGTAACCAAAAAGTATAAGAAACAGTTAAGATTAAAAGAAAAAGAAAAAAAAGAAAAATGATTTTGATGAAAATAAATAGCTAGGAAGATAATGAAGCAAGAAGTTCCTAGCTGAGTGAATGGAATTAAAAATGAAAACAGTAAAAGTATTTGGAATGAACCTGAAGTGAGGAAATGATGAAGATATATTTGTAGTTTTGTATAAAACTGAGAGTAGTATACAGAAAGTTTTTTTAAAAAATGCTATTAATGCAAATATTGAAGAAAACTAATAAGGCCACAGAAATCTTAAAAGACAGATGTTACTTGCTTATGAAGTAGTTGTGTAAAGAATAATGTATGTATGAAAGCTAAATCCATTTGTGATGATTGGAAATTGCTGCTTTGTTCACTTTAGGAAAGGAAAAGGTTATTTGGAATGAATGTGAAAACTATAGGAGGATTACTTTGTGAAATGTGTCTGGGAAATATTAGTAGCAAAATTTTGAGTTAGAGGGTCCATGAAGAGATAATAAGAAAAATGTGGAAAATGCAGGATATCTTTATGCTTGGCAAGTTGTGTGCAGATCAAATTTTTGCTCTTCAATAGATCATTAAATCATATGCGAACATAATCAAGCTTATAATGGACTTGTATATGAAATTGGGAGACTGATAAGGAAATAAAATACGCATGAACATAAGTGGCATGGTTAACAAATAGTTCAATAACTAAATGAGGAGACTAAGATAAAGTTTTGTGGAGTTTCCCTGGTTGCTTCATGCATTTATGAACAAATGTATAAGGATTGCAAGCGATGAACATAGATGTAAGTTGCTTGGGTACATAAATATGTCTTCATACGTTGTATGAAGACACTGCTGTGTTATTAGCTAAGAACTTGTATGATTTATAGTGCTGAGTGTATCGGGCATATCTTAAAATCAATGTATTAAAGAACAAAACACTGGTATTTGAGAAGAAAAATGAAGTGAATGATTACAAGTATTATAAATAGCAAAGATTAAAGCAAATAGATGAATTTCTGTACCTTGATAGAATATTTACTAAAGATAGGAAGATGGATAGAAATATTTTATTATATGCAAATGCTGTAAGAAAAGTAATGGGTAAATAGCCAGTCTGTTGAGAGAAAAGAATGTCTTTCAAAAGAAGCAAAATGGCTGAGTATAAAAGCATGCTTCTACCCACTTTATTATTTGAAATGAAAGGCTTGTCAGAAGGGTATGAAAATAAGTCGAATGCAATGAGAATGGATTACTTAAGAAGTATGTGTTGTAAAAAAAAAGAAGAAGAAGAGAGAGGGTCAAGAATGAAAGTTGTTTGAATGAATGTGGAGTAACCAGAAAGAAGTACATGGAAGTGGTTGGATGATATAGAGAGAATGGTTAGAAAGGCAATTGTAAAGAAATATATTACAGAAAATATATTTGGTTGAAAGGAAGTGGTGGTTGAACAGAGCTGAAGAGATCTTAAAAAGAAAGGGTTGAGAAGTATAAAGTAAAAGCAGATGTATAAAGCATGTTATGTGTTGAATACTAGCGCGGGAAATACAAGCGCGCGAACAAAGGACTCTTCCTGATTGGTCCCCGGGCAGAGCCGGTCCAATCCTCGC